TGCACTATCATTAATTATTAAGAGGTGAGGTTGCATAACATAGAGAGGAAGGGCCAGGACACAAAGTGACCCATTTTGTAGAGCTATTACGAAGGTTAGGAAAAGGTAATGGTCTGTAGAATTATTGTTTTAGCCATGCTGATGCTGACTGTTCTTTTTTCCTCCTGCTGGTTCTTTGCCCAGGATGATGCACCAGTCTTGAGAGAATAACTTTGACTGTGATGTTCACAACGGTTCGGTCTGCTTTGAGCCGGCAGGCAAGAAACGACTGACCTGTTTTTAGTGGGCTCAGTCTCATCTGCCTCTGTACCCTGCAGGAGAGCACGTTTCAATCCCCGCAGCTCCAAGACACAGACGCGGGTTAAGTGGATGCATGTTGACTCCATGATAAGCTATAGGGAAATAGATGGCACCCAATCAGACGGCAGACATGGAGGCACAGACAAGAAAAGGGCACTGGAAGGAAATAGAACATCTTGCTTGTCGTAATTAAATCATTCAAGCCAGGAGTGAGTTTTGATTATGACAAGACAGTTAATCTGTCTATTTCTATATTCATCTCCCTGGTGAGAGTAAATATGCACTTCTGGTCAGTGAAATGTACTTTTCAGAGATTAAATTTGTGTTGATCTGCATATAATAAATGTTTAGTTTCCTGTCAGAGGAGACCGCAGCGATCATTAAAGTGGGTAAGACAATTTAAATGAATAGATTTCATACTGTGCATTGCATGTAATATGGAAGCAGCTTAGTTTATGTCGCTTTATATAGAAGCTTAGAGCAATTGGCAATGACTTTTATGCAAACATGACCATTATACAGGATTCCTTCTGTAATTACAGTTCCACATCCCGCCCACTATAGTTATGTTCGAGTTGTGAACGGGTATTTTTGGCGTGAAGGAAATAGAGCCATCTATAGTGATTACAGTGTGCTACCTGAATATTATACAACTTTTCAGAGATTAAATTAAATAAATCCATTTCTGTCTTGAATTATTTAAAAACAGTAAGTGCAGGGAAAACACGGGTAAAATGTATTATCAAAAGAAAGAAACCAATTAAAAGTTCCCACCTCAGTATATATGAGCGTTTTTGTCAGTGTGGAATTAATACAGAAAAAAGCAAAAAATTCTTGATATCGCTTCAAGAAGTTGCATGGCAGTTTAGTTAATATGCATATGGTTTGTGCTGTAGTGACAGTATTTGCAAATACAAACAGAGCCGGAGTCAAGTATGTATATTAGCATCTGGTTTGGAATAGTTCTTCGTGTCAACAACAGAGGGAGTGATAAGAAATATTCACAGGTCGTGCTCCAGAGTTCTTTGAAATACATCAAAGAGCAACACTCCGGTTATCAAATCAAAGTGTAACTGAATTTAATATTATAAACACAGATTAAAAATACCTCCAAGCAGGGTCACAATTTAATAAACAGTTTGGAGGAAAGGTTGTTTGGAAGGTGAGAATAGAAGTTTTTTTAAATTCTGCTTTATCTTGCAAAATACATTAAGAATCACAAGATGCAGTGTTTCAGCCGGCAGGATTGACTCAGTTTTAGATCATATCCGCATCTCTCTATGACTGAATAATATGACACTTGTTATACATGTCAGTGTGATCCTGCACAGTTATCGGATGAGCCAAACAAAAAACAAAACATGTTATTCAAAGTGATTCTAAATCATCATCCATTTATCAGTATGATAATAACTGATACGGATCAATTACATGCAACAAGAATCACAAGATCCAGAGTCAAAATTGTTAAAGTGAGTTAAGCCAAATTAAATCTATGGTTTCTAAAAATGCACAAGCGTAATCCACTGCTTCGCTGATGCCCTGCTCAGCTTCACATACCGAAATAATGTCACAGTAACATTAATTACCTTCGGCTACAGTAAAATATTTTGAGTCTGTAGAAAAATGTCCTTTGTCATTTCCTGTCTTGAAGGCAAAAAATCAGCACATAGAGTGGAACAAGGTCTCGTGCTGTTTGGAGTGCTGAGAATATTCAGGTTTTTATTTCTTCCAAAGATAATAGGAGGTGATTTCCTCTCCTGCTGATGGTGTGTTAATCAGTAAAATCTCCTGATGTCGTTGAACACAGAAATGAAACCCTGCAGACCCTCCTGTCACAGGGGCGGCACCTCTTACATACAGAGACTGTGACAATTCTGAGCAAGTTGCGGTTTCAGCGAGGTAAATGTTACTGTCAGTAATGCAGATATATATCGGTACACAGCTTTCTAACATGCGGCTTTCTTTGTCTTATCTGTTATAGTATCCCTCAGAGTCGTGTGTGTGTGTGTGTGTGTGTGTGTGTGTGTGTGTGTGTCTACAGTATAGTGAGCTGTCTTTGTCTCGAATTCCCTGCTCATTATCGGAGCAGGTTCAAGGAGATGGGCACTCATTTGCATAGGCAGCCCCAGGGCTGGAGCCTCTGTGTTAGCAACCAGGTGATTCATACCAGCTCCTACAGTCTTACTCTGCAAGGATTAGATTAAAACCAATCAATCAGCCCAGATCACCCTGACCCATAGGAAAATGAGCCATGTGACGGCTGTTAGACCATCTCTCTTTCCCTCTCATAAAAAGCCCTTTTTCCGTCACACTGTCATGACAACGTTGCAGTTCTGTACACCTAAATTAAGAGATGAGACATTTATGAAATTCTGAGAAAATTCACACAGTGAGAAGCCGAGCAGTGTGAGCATAAAAATGCAAATTAAGGGGAGTTATACTGGGTAATATAAAGATTGTTAGCTCTGTCTGTTGCCGTGTTCACATGGGAAAGAATGTATGCAAGAAACAAAGAAAAGGGAAACACAGACGCACTGTTTAACCCAATGCATTATACAGTAGCAGCTTTTGAGGAATCAACCCTTCAGTCTTTTCACTGAGCAAATAGTTCTAGAGAAAGTACAGTATCTGTGAATTTTCAAACTGGTCAGTTCAGATTTAAATGAAGAAAATTTCTGTTCAGGGCTGGAAAGGTGCTGTACTTAAGCACACATTGAGGTTGGCTGTAAAACGCAGGCTTTTTTGTACTCAAAGTGTTCTAAACTGTGCATTGTTACACATCAAACTACAACCAGGTGACACAGCAGCCTAAAGCAGCTTAAGTTACCGTAATATTACACTCATGAGCCAGTTTTTCTTTTGTCACTGCAGCCAGAAGACTTGTTTTGAGTTCACATGTCTGAGCTTTCATTTATACTAAGACACCATAGTTGCATTTACTAAAACTTGGACATCATAGATTCAGTGAATGAACTTGACCTATCAGATCAGGGGTGGCCAATGAGATTTCAATAGAGACTTTGACCCCCTGACTGGCCTTTGAAGGTGCCTCCATACCTCCCACCTAAACATTGTTACAGACCAAGCACACACCCCATGTATCTGCGCTCCCCAGCTTTCTTTTCTCTCTCTCCAGTCAGTGTATATTGTGTATTTGAACTTGAAATAAGCTAAGAACACCCACACTTTATTTCTTAAATACTGCTTTAATACTAGCTTGACTGTTTTTCTATGATTTTTGTCTTTTTGGTTAGGTAATCTTGTGAATTGACATTGTAGCCAAAGGAAGAAAAAAAAAAGCATTTTGAAGTATATAGAATCCTGAAAGGTCATGGTTTTTGGAATGCTTTTCTATCCCCGCTGACCCATAAAGAAAGGCTGATGTGTATTGTGTTACAGTACCATGTATTATGTAGTAGACCCCTACTGATTGTGATGATATTGTTAGTTGGTGCCCCCTCAGCTTTGGCTCCTCAGACAAAAGTCTTGCACTACTGCATTCAAGAGGATAACCAGAGGAGCTGGTTGGCACCTGTGAATGTGGCCGTAGCTGTGGTTCCTACGATTTGGACCGTGACACTTTGGTTTTTAATGGGTGTAACACTGACTACGTGCATTGGTTATGTGTGTGTGTGCAGTCATGGTTGCATTCCAAAGAACTTTGTGGTTCAGCGTCTTGGCCGAGAACACTTTGGCATGTAGACCGGAGCTGCTGGGGACTGAGTTGTCACCTTTGCGATTAGCGGACAACCTGCTCCACCACCTGAGCCACTGTCGGAAAGTTATTGCGAGGTAATGCAAAAGTAGTCCCAAATGTGAAGTTTTGGAGGCTCTGTAGAACGAAGCAAATGGTTCATCAGCATGAGTTAGAAGGACTAGTAGGGCTTACGTCGAATCTATTTTCAAGCCATTTTGGTCATGCATTGTCCCACGATAAAACATTCATCTGCCACTTTGCGACCAATCGTAGCCGGGACCGGCCCGTGCAGCTCACCCCCTGCTTCCTCCGGCCGCACTGTTACGGCTCATCAGAGAGCTCACTCCTCTGCAGTCTCTTGTGAACCATATGAAAGCATAAAGCAAAATTATGCAAGGCTAATGTCCTCTTTAGAGAAAATATGGTATAATATTTATAAACTCTCCCACTTTCTACACACACCACTGGAGAGTGCAAATGTAGACACGTCGATGTGTAATGCAACTTTAATAGGCCCACTTGGGGAGGAGGGGGGGGCATATATTCACATTAATGTGTGAAAGGCATAGTGTGATGTCAGCAAATTGAAGACATTTTAAAGCTACATATATCTGATATTCTGTCCATCTGAAGACATCACACACCACACTCTTGCACTTTTACAGCCAGTACAGTGAGGCATCTTAAGGCTCTGCTCTACTGGATCACCTGAATGTATAAGTTGAGTGATCCAGTTTAGACTTCTTTCATCAATGTGAGATTTCCCAGAAACATGAAGGCATACACTAAAGGAAACAAAAAAAAAAAGAAAAAGCATGGTGGTGATATTCACTAAAGGAGAGAAATGTTACTTCTACATGTTCCTTTACTTTTTCAACTCCTGTCTTTGTTGTCAAGGTTTTATGTGCACAGAATACTTCCATCTTTGTGATGATATTATGCAATCTTGTCGTACATCTAACCTTGTATTTTGTGTCCTTTTCTTGTCCCATTTTACCAGGAGAGGAAGCTATGCGCGTTCCCAACTATTGAGATCTGCAGTTCACACGTCACCAACTACATGGTTCCACTGTCTCGCCAGACAGACTTCTTTGTACCAGAAATGAAAGAGGAGGTCAAAACAGATGTGAAAGAGGAGGATTCTGATGAGGACAGAGGAACTGACATTACAGGTGAAATTATGCACATTCTCAGGTCTCCCACAGAAAAATATTCACCCCATTAGCCAAAAAAGCTTTCTCTCACATCAAAAACGAAATAGCTGTTTTTCTGACTGAAAGAAGCTTTAAAAAATGGTCTTTCTTTGCCATTCCGATTTTGTGGAGCATATTGGTCTGACTGCACCACAGTATCATTCTGACAGGGGAAAAAAAAACCCACTTTGGCTTGTTTGTACATCTGTAAATCAATCAGTCACTACGGACGAGCTGAAGTACAGAAAGTGGCTTCGGTGTTCTCTCAAAATAGTGATGTATGGAATTGTTTTGTTGCAGACGTGCCCTGTGATTAAAAAGTATGATTTACTGTTAAAAAAAAAAGAAGAAAAAAACAAACTAGCAGCCTTATTGCTTGAAATTTCCAGTGTTGTAGGTTGCTGCTCGGAGGTTGTTGTATCCCGTAGCAAAGAAAACAGTAACACGCACATAGCAGAAGGCAAGGACAGAGCTGCTTGAAATAAGCAGCCAGTGGACGGTTATACCTGCATCCTACATCTGGTGAGTCAGCCTAAAAAGTGGTAGCTAAGACAGCAGTGAAAGGAACTTAACGCCCCCTGAAAATCTTGTGGTTTACCTCCTCACCTGGCTGCATTAAAGCACAGGCATTCTCAGGACCCCATGACCTCCAGCCACACCTCTGACCGCCGTAGGAATAAGTGATACAAGCTTGAAACTTTAAAACAGAGAGGCCAAATAACTCTAAAAAAATATATAAATTAAAAAAAAACAGCCATCACATGTCGCTTAGTTTGTGGGCTGTTCTGTGTTGTCATCTAATCACACTCTAATGAAGCAGGTTGATAGCGAGAGAGAGAAAAAACTGTTTCTGCTCTGTTGAGAAAATTGCTTGTGTCAGTTAGAAGCAAACGAAGAGGAGATATGTGGCAACTTGTATTTCGTCCGACACCACATCGACTCCCCTCCTGCTCCTGATCACTGAGGACATGTGATGTACGAGACTCTGTAATTGTTCTGTCATTACAAGTGTGTGTCTTCAAGCGCAGTGTCCTCTCTGCTGCTGTTACTCTTTGAAACTCGCTGGACCTGGAGGTCGGTCTCATGGCAGTATTGACTGCCGGTGCACAAATCACTAGAAAAAGAAAATGGTGTTTGGCTGTTTGAACAGAGTGGGCAGAGGTGGGCTGATAAATATCAGGTACTGTCTGCCTTAAGCTTAGATCATGTGACACATCCTGTACACACAGATTAAATGTGGGAGATGTATCAGAGAGAAAGTCTCCCATGATCTGCACATGTTTACGGGTTTTTGCCATGTTCAGATGGCGTTTGCCTTTGAAGTGAAGCACTGAGGAAGGTAAAGGCCACTCTCCGCACAAACATGGCGGGATTGTCTGCCGTAGAGTCGCTGACATTCTTGTGAACTGAGAGTCAAAGCTATTCACAACTTTAAATTAGTTTGTCAGCATCAGCAGACCGAGACAAAGTTTTGATTATTCCTTGCCTTTCTTACAAATGAGAAAGTTAATAAGAAAGAACTAAAGTGCTAGAAAACATTTCAGTACGGTAATTCAGATAAAATTAAGTTGATATTGCGTGTTTTACAATTACATGAGGAGAAAGTAATTTTGTAATGGAGTCTTTGCTTAGCGCACGCACACACACATTCACATACACACACACATTCACATACACACACACATACACACACACACGTTCACACACACACGTTCACACACACACATTCACACTCACTCACACACACACACACAACTTCAAACCTTTTCACCATTTCTGTGTTTTGTTATTTAAATTCACCCAATTCTGACACCATACCATGCAAAAGGGGTTTCATACTGTGATTTTTTTTTCAGAAAAGGTGTGCAATAACGTGTTATCCTGTGCAGCCTACGTCTAGTGATAGCAACGAATTGATGTCAGATGTGACGGAAACCACTTTCATGGTTGTGTGTTGGTAAAGCCAAGAAGTGATTAGTAGAGCCTACCATAGAGACTGGAAGAAGGGAAACAGCAACCCTGGCTGTCTTCAAAGTTGAACATCTACAAGCACTTGTGTTATTTGCTTGATAACTGCACAAATAGAGATAAGATAAGATAAGATAAGATAAGATAAGCCTTTACCAAGCCACCAGTAGGGAAATTTGCAGTGTTCAAGCAGCAGGAGGATAGTACAAAAAATGTAGGGACATCAGTTGAAAAACAAAAAAATAACAAGAAATATATAGTACATAAGAACTTCTGATATTGTACAGATTAATGTAGAAATTAGGGTATTGCACAGATTCCACTAAATGTGGAAAGTATAGACTTCAGTAGAAAGTATTAATAGAAAAAATACTGATATTACACACATTTGTATTTGTAGAAAAATAAACTAATCAGTCTCAATGTTAAAACACTGGCAGGTAAAGTGAATAACATTGATCATCAGAGTTTACAATGTACACTGTGCTGGGAAAGCTGGGCTCCTGGCATACATGTGGATGTTACTGTGACACATGTGGATGCTACTGTGACACATGTGGATGTTACTGTGACACATGTGGATGTTACTTTGACTCATGTGGATCTTACATTGAAACGTGGATTTTACTTAGACACGTGGATGTTGCTTTGACATGTACCATCCACCTAAACATTGTTGTCTTCACTGCTTCCCCACTACCACCCAGCAGGACAGTGCACCCTTTCACACTGCATAAACTGCTCAGGTACACAGCAATAAGCCTAAGGTGCTGACCCGGCCTCCAAACTCCCTTGAGGCCAATCTGATTGAGCATCCATGGGATGCAGGAGAACTAGTCTAAGCCACGCAGACTCCACCACAAAACCTACTGCACCCAAACGTCCTAGTGCCAAACACCACAAAACAGCCCTGTTCAGACAGCACATGGGGGACCTACACAATATTTGGCTCATCAGTCTACAAAACAAGTTGTGGTTTTACTGTGTGGAGTCAGCACAACTGTATACAGTGTCAATGTAAAGACAAGATGAGATGTGCATTCTCTCAGGGCTGTGTGAACTGACATAAAGATGCATCGAAGCGAGTTGGAAATGTTTCAGCTTGAGCTGAAAATTTCTGCAAATCTCGAGGCTTTATGAATCCTCTCTATAAACATGCAGACATGTGGGATGAAAAAGAGAGAAACCGTAGGAAAATAGTAGAAAACTGGAGTCCCTGGTGTGCTGTAAGATCAGTCAGAGGCTGAGCTGCCACACAAAAACACCAACACACTCCTACAGACACCCCTGGTGTGTCCAGTGCTGGCTAGCCCACAGCTAGATGGTCGGTACAATGGCTGTTTGGGGCATAAACATAAATGGTCCAGTGGTCAAGTCTGTACAAATGGTGGAAATTTGCTTCACTTTCTGTCTGAACACATCTAACTGCTTCTTGACACACAGCCGCCTCATACAGAGATTCAGTAAGTCTCCACTGGCAGTCTTATGTTGACAAAAACATAAATGTGCTTCACAAAGTGTCAAATACTCAGATTATAGTCAAATTCATGTTTATCATACTGAATGAAACAGTTATTCAGTTTGCTCTGTTAAGAAACCACAATAAAGAGTTAGATTTGGCCTTACAGATTCACAATGCAGAGTATTATCTCCAACAATATGTCACATATGCTTTTGACACCGTTCAGAAGATTGTGAGATTCTTTTTATGCTTCTTTTGAAACACTTAACACCCAAGGCCTCTTTACTGTTCAAAACAAAGACGAAAAGGAGCTGTTACGTGTTTGCTGGAGGTAAAAAATATAAATGTCGCTTCAAGAGTGATGGATTTTTCACTGAGGAGTTTCCTTTCATCTGACAGTTTATATTATATTCTGCTGTGTGAAGTCATCTTGAATGAAATGAAATGAAAATACTTTATTTATCCCAGAAGGGAAGTTCAATTCAAAATTTAAATCAATTCAAAATCTTGCTTGATTGCTCGGAAAGTTTTTTTTATTATTTCTTCAACAGAAGAAACTGTTCGTGTTGTGTTCGACATTTACTGTATGTTGGTGGGAAGAACAATAAAGAGGCAGATGTGAGGATGCATAAACATGTCCCTGCATGCGTGCACTGTTCTTACATCACGGCCAAAACCCGTGTTTTTGAATACTGTTGGGTTCAGGAGTCACTTTTAGAAAAAGACACTCTCTTGCACGCGCGCGCGTGTGTGTTTTCGGTCTCAGACACAACCGAGCTTTCTTAATGGGAGAAAGATCAATCAGGGCAGCTAAGCTCTGTCTGACAAGCCAGCTGTGGAAATCCTACTTCAGCACCTGGGAGATTACTGCCAACTTTTCATCCTTCATCCACCGTCCGCATTATAGACCATCCTGCCCGTGAACTCCCATGGCTGTGCCTTAACATTTGTCCTGCTTCGACCAGAGAGAGCAGCAAACACACAAACAAAATGAAAACACTTTTATGATAATCTGGCGATCACAGCAGTCACTGTTTGTGCCGCAAGAAGCTTGTTAATCTTTTGAGGACACAAACCAGCCTCAGTGAAAAACATGCAAGAGGGCTTCGTTTTCAAGACCATTTATAACAATAATAAATATCCACTTCATGCACAAAGCCACGGGGGACTTATCAAATCCAGCGAAGGTACAGAATAGACTCATACAACATGGCAGGCTGGTTCAGTTCATTCACACATTAGTAATTGGATACATGCTTTTACTTAACACATCATTAGGTAATAATGCTCAATTTAGGTGAGTGATAATCGTGGGAAGTTTGTGTTTCTATTCACTTGTTTTTATGTGCATTTATGCCAGAAATACTGCAAAAAGCTGCCAGGAAAATGGGCACTAAATTTGGATGGAAATGTGACTGTCATATGCACATGAACTCATTATCATATGAAATTATTAACTGTACACTGAAGCGGCTGCAGGAGTTATGCCTTTATGGTAATCCATTGTCTTTCTATCATATCACACCACTTATCATGACAAACAACTATGTTTTACCCAAACACATCAAACTAATAACCATTATTAAACTCTACTCATGGTCATTTTTTATGATGAGCATCTTCATCCTCCCTCCCAGCTCTCATTTGTAAACAAAGCGTTCCATCCACCGTTTCACTTCTTAACTTCTGTTTACGCATTCCTCGGTACACTTTTCTCGCCAACCGCTCAGACTCTGATTCTCCAAACTCTCAGCATGCCTCAGCCCTTTCTGTGTCTAATTATCTCCTTTAAAAAAAATCCTCTCCTCTGTTTCAAACAGTTTGAAGAACAAGACCTTGATTCTCCGCTAATAATCCCAATGGGCCCAATTTAGCAACTAATTTAGGCAAATGTTATCTAAAAGACTTTCAGAGGCTTCAACCACGGCACCAATTTCAGGACTTGCTTGCAGTTGTAAAAAATAAATAAAAAATAAATAAAAAGAAGGGTGAAAGTTGTCCAGTATGTCGAGGCTCTTCCTTGGGGGGCTGTCCACCCAATTACCCTAAACAGTCCCATTATTTCCCGGAAAATTCCTTATATTGTAAAAACGAGTCTCTCTGGAAAAAAGCTGTTTCGCTGCAACATGCAAATGAGATATACATCACTACATAAACCCATCTATATGCTTTTTAAAGCCGCATCAGCGTGCAAAATCGCATTCACACCCGACCTGCTCTGCTGAACACCATTCCCACTGGCTTTGTTTGGACCTGTCGGCTAATCAACAGGCCCATAAATAGACATAATAATAACCTAAATGCACTTCCAATATATTATATTCCACACCGCAGACGGGATCAGATCTGCTGAATGTGATAATTAGATTGTTGAGACTCAAATGAATGAAAAGAAACGAGTGACCTTAGTGAGCGGCTTGGAGACTCCACACTTTATTGTATTTAGTTCCCCTAAGACACCTTTAGTGAAAACACACTTAGATGTGCAGATTAGATTTATTTGGAGTGTGAAAGCAAAAGGAAAATGATGTGAATAGTGTTTTAGTGGTCAACGGGAGAATCAAGTCTGATTTTATCTGTCAAACAAATTTAATTTCAAGGTTGCTGCAAACAAAAAACATGACGTAAGAGCACATTGAAATATAATAAAGCATTAATGCATTGTCTAACAACAGGAGAGGAGGAAAAAAATACACAAACACAATGTTTTATCATTTGATCACAGGTTTAACAGGTGATTATGAATATAGTTGTAATTTATACTTTTTTGTGGGTTTTGTTTTCATGCTTTTTTATTTCACGTCTCAAGCATCTTCGAGAAGCCCAAGAGTGATGTTTGTTGTGTTGGTGGGAGGTGTGATGTCCTTCTTACATTCCTCAGTTCTGATTCATCTGTAATCTTAGCGAGGCTCAGCAACAGAGGCCCCAGATCTTTTATTTATTTCTCTTGTTTAGTTTATACAGCATTGACTTGACAGTTGAGGCTCTGGGTTGCTAATCAAAAGGTCGGGGGTTCAAGCCCCCAGCACCGCCAAGCTGCCACAGCCGGGCCCTTGAGCAGGGTCCTTAACCCTGTCTGCTGCAGGGGATGCCTTGTCACGGCTGACCCCGCGCTCTGACCCCAGCTGGGATATAGAAAAGAGAATGTCACAGTCTGGTAATGTGTTTGTGACAATAAAAGCTTCTTCTTCTTCTGCTTCTTCTATCTTTGACCCACATGACACCACTCTGTCTGACTTAAAAGCAAAGCCAGTGATTCAATCCAAGTACAACTTTTGTCAAATTCAGTGATGATCTCCTCACATTGTGCTAGCTGTTTGAAAAAAGAAAAAAGGTGTTTGTACACAGTCGTGGCTCTTTAAATGAGAAACAAAGTGATCCGCGCAACACTTTAAGCTTGTGCGTGTTGGTACTCCTGCACAGGAGGCAGGTGGTAAGGGAGCAGGAGGTGAGTTGAAGGGAAATGGGGCAGTGGGAGCAGTGCTAGGTTAACGGTTTTTAGATGGAAGTAGCGAAAACGTAACATGAGCAGGTGGCTGGTGTCCTTAATTTACACTTGTTAGGTTACTTTCGTGACACCAATCATAATCTTTTTTACTGGAGGGCACTGTGACCCCACAGCTTGCCTCAAATGTACTTTATAAAAAAATTAGGGGGCAAAAATTTTACGTTTGCTGTATTTTAAAGCACTTTGCAGCTTAGCTTTTTGAATGATGCTGTACAAATAAAGTTGTTGTTATTATTATTATTATTTTATCAATAATAATAATAATAATAAAAATGTTTTGGACTTTCTTTTTGCAAAAGGATGTTACGAAGCTGTGGTCTTAACTGTCCTTTGAAGCAGTCTGTAGGAGAGCTGCAACTATCGATTTGTTTTACTGTCGATTATTTTCTTGATTTATTCATCAGTTTTTGGGTCCATGATGTCAGAAAACATTGAAAAACGTCCAACATGATGCCCTCAAATGTCTTGTTTTTTTTCCCACAACCTAATGTTTACTGTTGCAAGAGAGTAATGAGACCAGCAAATATTCAAATTTTGACTCTGTCTTTTTAAATAATTACTCAAACCAATTATAAAAATAGTTTAACAATCAATACCATATTTGACGACCAATCAATTAATTGATTAATTGTAGCAGCTTTAGTCTGCAATCTTGAGCATTTAGGATGCCAAGCCACTTTAATACAGCCTGCCCAGAGTCTCACTATGGTACTAAGATAAGTTTGCAAGAGCTTTCGTTCCAATGTGTAAACTCTTGAGATGCCTCACACATTTGTGTCTGTGTTTTGCCTTCTAGAGGATGCAGTTGGTATTGTGAGACTATGTGAGGGTGTTTGTAATGTGGAAACGAAGAAATCCACAGCTAAAATGTAGAAATCCAAAGCAGATGACCCATTACTAGGAAAAGGAATATGATTTCTTTTGAGCTTTCTAGGTTTTCATCATGGCCCCACTGGGTCAGATATTCCACTTCCTACAGGTCCTGTTGTCAGCGTCACTCATTAGTCCAATTGCTGCCTCCATGAACTTTATGATGCTGCTCTTGTCACATTTCGAGACATGTAAAGAGCAGTAACATATCGCTCATGTCCATTAGTTTTACCAATTCTCACAGCCTGTTGGGAATAACAGCTCCAGATAAAGTTGCCCAGATCAAGACCTCTGAGTTTCAACACCAGTTTAGACGGTGTGACTGTACTGAAAGAAGAGCTGTAATCAATAAACAACATTCTGGCGTAGCTATTTTTCTTTTTCAACTTCAAAGCAGGGATAAAAAAAAAAAAACAGTTGCGCTCGTCTGTGAGAGAGGAAGAGGTGTTGATAACCACGCTGGGCTCAGATTTGTAGTTTGTAGCTGCCTGCAGGCCGCTCCACATGCACCGCCAGCCACGGCCACCGTAGTCACCGTCCACTCTGTACGTTACACTCAGTCCTTTTCTTCCTAAGAACCTTAAATTGTTGAGCCCAATTTATTCAAACCTTTCTGTATGTTTTATTTTTTTATACAGCCGACTCCTTCCGCCGCTCTCCAGCTGTTCATGTCGCCACAATGACCTTCTGGATCGCTCCCACAAAAACACCTAAGAATAACTATAGTCAGGAATGATGAATGGATATCGGGTCACAGTGAATCATAGCTCAGGGGCCAATTAGAATCTAGTTTAGACGGAAAGCATTTGCAGGCTGATCATGTGGGTGAGGAAATCTCCATCAATTAAGCTAATGGACAGTCTTCATGATTACAGACATGCAGTACAGCAGCAGCTGCCTCTCTGAGTAAAGCTGTAGTCAACTACGCCACACCACAATACAGGATCATTAAATGAAAGCGATAACATGTTAACGACTGGCCTGTGACTTCATGTGAAAGATCTTTTGTCTCTTCAACAATAACTACGTCCCCTCTGAGCTCAGCTGATAAATTACTCTGAGCCGTATCTGGTGAATTTTAAGTGACCAGAGATGCGAGTGTTTCATAAGGCCAGCATTATATTTCTCATCTTTGATCAAAGGATGGCGATATGTAAATGCATGCATTCATATCTTCACAGCCTTGCATCATCTTTGATGGGCTTTAATACTAAGCAAAGTGTTAATCTTACTTTATGCATTAACCGATATATAAAAGATGACTGCTTCTGGCCATGTTAGTGGCTACAGATGATCGGTGCGCCGCTTTGATTCAGTTCTAATATCTTACCAGTCCCCATAAGATGGCTCCTAATGACTTTTGTTGATCCCTGGACTTTTCCTCTGGTGCCACAGGTCAAAGTTTTCGCTCAGCTGTGGAATGTAACAACATCTACTTGATGAATTAGCACAAAAATATTTATAGAAATTCACTGGTAGTTTACTCTTAAGTGAGCTTTTTTTTTGTTTGTTTTGCCTGCAGTAATTTTATTCTGTTAGATTAGTTTTGCACAACCCTCACTCCCTCACACAGCCTGTTTTTTAAAATTTTTTATTTGTGTTGCGTGCTGCAGGTGCAGATTCCCACAGTGACGTGAGCTCGGTGAGCGGCGGCATGCCGTGGGACAGCAGAGAGACGTCCTTAGCGGCGTCCACGGCAGCCTCCCTGGCCTCCTCCTTGCCTCTGAGGGACGTAATGGATGCGAACGAAGACATTAAACACAGGGAGCACAGCGACAGAGGCTCCAACGAGTCTTTGGGCAGTGGCTCGTCCTTTGAAGAGCTTGACATGGATCAGGAGGAGCAGGAGGAGGGCGAAGAGAAGGAGGAGAAGGAAGACGGGGAGGAGGAGGAGGACGTCCCTGAGGGCGAAGATGGAGCTAGAGAAGCAGTTGAACTGATGGCTGACAAGAAGGAGCCCGTGGGGGATGGAGAGGAGTAGGGAGGATGCTGAAGAGATAAGGGATGCAGCCACGTAACACTGGCACACTGGAGAGTTTCTCGGCTGTGCTGTTGCTGGTTATCTGTCGTGTAATCTTGTTGGTGGATCTAAAGCTGTTCATGCCATGACCACATGCCGTATTTCTGCGCCTTCTAAATGTCTTTTTGAAGCCTGTACTTTTTCTTATATTGTAATCTCAGTTTTTAAAAATAATTCCTGATCTTATATTTGAACCGTGTCAGGACAGAACAACAGACGAGCCCACTGGGTGGAGTCTTCCTCGTCACATGGTGCGCAGCAAATAAGGGGGGAGATTTGTTTAATTAGATACTTCACTTCTTACATTTCAAACTGCAATCTTGTTTGAATCACCATCATTCCTGTTCTGATTAGATGTGACACCTCAAGTTAAGAGGAGGAAATAGAACGACTATCCAGTGTGTTTATGCCCATGTGTGACAGTTGATATTGTACCCTGCTGTCAAGGTCATGTCCTGAGGAAATTTTTCATGTGTTTGTGTGCATTACCTGACTTTGGTGTCTTGATATAGAGTAATGATTGGGTAAAAATGTGCAGGAGCTGCTGCTGTAGAGTTTTTGATGGACCTATTTCATGGTGTTATTTACACAGGGGAAATTCTAAAATCAGAGGTGGAGAAAAAACTTTGCAAAGTAACATCACCAATGCCTCCAAGTCCCCAGGACTCCGATTTGTAAGAAAATTCAAAGTGTTTCCCTTGGAGAATGTACAGAATATTTTATTGTCACTCTCAGATAATTGCTTTTTTTTTTTTTTAATGTACCCTTTCTATAGTTGGTTTGAGAAACCACTTTTCATTTATGTTTTTCCTGTTGTAGCCAATATTCACTTACTACCAGAGACTAGTTGTGACATGTTTGTAGGTTGTTGGTGCTGTGAGACATTGGAAATAATGTACAGCACATTGCAATGTTGGTGTCTTTCTGTGTGTAATAAAATTTTCAAATGAAAAGTTTATTTGACTGCAGCCAGTTGTGCATATATTTTGTATTAAATTAGAACCCTTTTTCTCTGCAGATGTAAGTTTAAAGACACCATTTGAACAATTCATTTTTAAGTTTTCCAACACAAAGCAGCATGATTACTGTCCTGCTCCGAGGACTGTTCTTATCTATTTTTATCAGTCTGTTTCCCAACAGCGACAGAGGGCTGTAACAAAGTGTGGCTGGCGGTGGGACACATTGTTGTGCAGAAGTCATTGATGAAGCAGTAAGCTCTTAATAAGTTATTAAGCTTTCTTTTAGCGCTCACCGCTTTCATGGTTTCACGGTGTAATGATTGCTGGCGCCTCTGCTTTGTTTGGGCACAGGGATGAATTCAAAAGCTGATTAAACGAGAAACGGTAAAGAAAAAGCCAATAATAACCAGTTTCTCAGCGCAAGTTGAGCAAATTAAGCACAGCTGTTTTGAGATTTTCTTGAGGGAGAAATTTCCCCTGGAACACTTTAGCTGTTTAATCAGCGTGCACAAAATAATACAAATTTAGGCACCTTTGGGAAGCATAAACGCTCTTAAGAATATCTTTTTCGAAATGTTATTGTATCCAGATTCTGTCACTTCGGCAGCAGCCGCATTGATCTGGTCAACATTTGACTGAGCCGTTTGGTATTTGTGCCCCAATTTATTTAATCAGCTGTGTGTACAACAGAATGGGAGGAATGGGCTCCAGCAGACTATTGATGTTTGATGGACATCTGTGTTCTTAGCCAGTTGTCCTTAATGAGCATCATGACCTATAAGTATGAATGTTTTATTTCCAATCTAACACCGTAGTAGGCATGATAATTTTACTGATTAATATGCCATCAGCCAGAGAGGGAAATAAAAGTCTTTCACACTCACAGCCTGGCTGATATTATGGAGGGTATTGGCTTATTGCAAATCCAGAACACATTTATATTTGAGCTAATTTAGAGACACTGACTCTAAAAGGTAGTTTACCCACTGGAGACAGTTTGATTTCCTCAACTTTAAAAAAAAACAAAAAACACATTTAACACCAGTGACGTCTCTGGCGTGAAAAGTTGAGTGGGGCACAACACACTCTACAGCTACAAGCAGCATCTGATTTTTCTGCGATACATACAGCACAACCTGAGATTGATCTGTATTAAATGAGCCACATAAAATGGCAACAGCCTACACACTAAATGCAATTTCATATCAACGTAATTCAAGAATACAACCTATTCTTATGTATAGCATTAAAAATAAAGGGTCATTAAAAAATGTCACTCACCAGTGTTGTTGTGACAAAGTGTTAAATATCGCCGTTATCAAAGAATCTACTTCATTTATTTATTTTTGGCCCTGTTCACTCACAATGAAAACCAACCTAGCTTGCTGCGCACCACCATCTGCCCAAACTGTACACGTTTATTATGTCTTGACGTTTGTCATTCCAATATTTTAACTGGATGACTTCAGCTTGGGGCCAAAATAACTGTGCCCCGCGGCTGTCTACAGAGAGCAGTTTTGGACATGTGCACAATAATTTCAGCAGTTCATCACTTAAACAAACCAGACGGACCAGCCCCATTCTTTGGTGGGTCAAGACGAATTAGGCTACTTGTCGGCATTCTGTCGTCAAAGCCTTTGGATTATGCATAAACATTTATAATGAAATCGTCTTGGTAACATAATTGATTTTTTAGAGTATTATTATTCTTGATAAAATATTCTTTATGGATTATTACTCTATAAAGACCAATTTTTTTCCACTTAATTATTTTAAGACAGCATAGAGCTCCACAGCGACATTTGGTGGGGCCAGGCCCCACTGGCCCCAAATGCAGAGACGTCACTGTTTACACGTCTGTATAGAAAAATCCAATACACAACATCTCTACAGCAGAATGGACGTCATGAAACATCCACTTCAAACAATACTGACATGACAACGGGCAGATCAAAAGTAGTCACCAGAAATCACAAGTTAGTAACAAGTGTTTCCATGAGATAAAATCCAGCATCATGTAGCGCCACATGTATACAACACATCCAGTTAATAACCTCATCAACCTGGTCAGTGCTGTCCAGAGAAGTTGTCCCACTATTTCTGAAGGGCTCTGAGAAGTTGCCGGACAGGATCATGCTGTTGGACACATCCATCCATTGGTGACGTGTACGGTGGGTCTGCTCGTCCCGGTAAGTCTAGAACATTTTCAGCTACACCTAGAGGGGAATATTCAGGTGACATGAGGACAACTTTGTTGGGCATTGAGATTGCCACTGATGTATGCAGATGTGTTCATTGCATATCCCTGCCCTCAACATCACTCCTCCACCTCCATGGACCGCTCATGACGTTAACATCGGCAAAGTGTTCCCCTGTATGAAGTGACGTCTGCCGACTGCTCTGTACAGCTGAAAAGACCGTCCTCCTGGTGTCCAAGCAACATGAGTGGTTGCCCACTGCAGTCAGTTTCAACACTGTTCTGCCATTGGATCAAGGCCTTGGTGTGGCTAACAAGATCCAGCTTTTATCAGGCAATTTTCTCACAGTTTAAGCAGATATCCTCCTCTGCAGACCGACACCTTGATCAGAAGGCTTTGTAGCTGATCGCAAATGACTTCACAGCTGGACGAGCTGGATGTAACGGTCCTGGGCTTGGGTCGGTGACACACAGTCTGTGGTCATGTGGCAGATTGTCTGTCGCACAATGCTGTCTGAAATGATTTCTTAGAAGACGAATGGTGGAGCTGTGGACACTCATGTGCCTGGCTATAGCCCTACGTGACACATCAGATTCCAGTATTCCAACAGCCTGCTTTTGTCTTTCTTCATCATTGTGTCATTTTTCTGAAGTTGCATTTTAAAGTGGCCTATTATTGTCACTGGTCAAAGGAGTGTCTGTGTGCTGGTAACACAATCTTTTAAAGCTTTATCTTTTAAAGCTACACCTGACCAAGAGGTGGAATAACTCAGTAGTTAAGAAATTGGCTCAATGTGCACAGCTCAAAAAATGTTGGTGTACAAGTGGCTACATTTAATTAGTTTTTAATGACAATAAGAAATGAAGTTTTTTTTTTTTTTTTTTTTAATTTTTTCTCTGTCAGAAAAGAGGAGCATTTGCATGTTGGATTTATTTTTCCATTTAGTGTAATGTATCCTAACTAGATCTGATTATTAAACTCTCAAACAAGTCTTGCTACCTTCTATCCTTCTCTATTGCAGACACAGTGCATAATCAACATAATAAATGATGGCAGAAGATACGTACGTTTGACAAATAAAAACAGGAATGGATAAATATAACAGTTACATCTGCTGCCAAACAAGTCAGAAAGCAGCACTGAATGAGTGTGGAAATGATGCTGTGGCGTTAACATTCCCCCAGATGAACAACAGCTTCTATCTCCATCAACAAAAATCCCAATCAGCAATGTCTGTTGGAAGATTCAGAGATTTGGAGAATCTACTTGCAACTTAAGGTGGAGAACACCTTATTACAACATTGTTGCTTTCATTTGTCCACCATGCCCTCGCCTGTGTCATAGAGGAAATAAGTATCATCTCCTGCTGAGTAGAAAATTTCCCAACATACAGCTGTACTTGTTTATCTCTCACCTAACAGACCTTCAGTAACATTTCCTTACATGATAAGACTATGGGACTGGTAGCCTCTGCCTGCAGAGGTGTGATCAGTCTGCAGGGACAGATGCCCTGGCCACATGTCTGTTGCACTTTCAGTTTTAATACTGGCACACCAACCTTTGTCCAAAGGCAAAAATGAAAAATCAGTCTGGAAGAGACTGCGATGACACACTGGGTCAACAACTGATTTAATTAATTGTGAAACCCACAGGGGTGTCATGCAGCTTTGAGGGCACGGAGATTATTGCCTTCCCATGATGTTAATTATTAATCTCATTACATTGCAAGTGGAGGGAGAGAGAAAGAGAGAGAGAGAGAGAGAGAGAGAGAGAGAGAGAGGAGGAGATATCTCAACATACAAATTTAGACGCCGACCGTTGCGTGTCTGAAGCTGCTTTTGGCAGGAGAGAGGAAAAGGGTCGCAGCTCATCCCTCTCCAACCGCACGTCCCCCTGCGCGCTTCGCTGTGCCAGCTGGGACTGACCTCACACTCTCCCCCTGCCGTGTCACAACTTGTTTGCGGATACCAAATAATAAAATTATTATTTTTTTTCCACCGCTGAAGATAATAAGTCTCCAAAGAGTTGCTATTTTAACATCCTGTGCCACCTCCTCCTCCCGGACGGCTTGAACAAATAGGAGGTGATTCTTAAAGCTTCTCCCCCACTGATGCACTCACACGCAGTTTTCAAAAGAGAAAGAAAGCAAGTGGTTTCCATCAGGGCTATATAATGTTCATTTGGAACACGACGAGGCAGACTTTTCCAAGACCGATCTTGCGTGGAGCAACTGCGTCTTTAATCAAGTGTGAAACCCCTTCAGAGAGTTGAGGCTCTCCTGGCGTCTATCAGCTGATACATATTACAGATTTTGGCACAGTTGAGTAACAGGTAGAAATTTCAAACTTTGTGCTCGATTGCGCCAAATCAGATGGTCTAACATCCCATCAGGCTCACAAACGTCACATTTTTTTTTTTTGTCTCTCTCAAGAAAGTGAACGCCTTTTTCCCCCCCCAAAATCTTAGAAATAACGAAGTGGGCGTTAGTTGCGTTTGTTTTCAGGAGATGTGAGTTGTGAGGCGCTGCTGGCAGGATCAGACCTCCAGGAATCCGGCGGCTCTTTGTCTGTCAGCACCGCGGAGAGCTCCTGGCGCGCCTCAGCTGCACGCGGTTCAAACTTCAGGCAGCCACACTCGCCTCCTGCATTCATTCATTCATTCATTCACTCACTCATTCTGTCACCCGGCTCCACTGTAGTTCACTGCCACACTTGTTTCACAAACTCAACACTGCTAGCGAAGGATATGCGTTTGGTTTATTCCGTGCACGGCGGCGCTGGAAACTGAGGAACCCCTGCGCA